CAGCTGTTAGTTGACTTTCTAGTGCTATCTAGTCTTCTATTTATTATGACTACGCAAGTCTGAGCAGAAATCACACAATATTGTTACCTGATAATCTAAGGAAAGCAGGACTATTCTTACATTCTAATGTTATACAATGCATTTCTATTACAATAAACAGCAAATACAAAATAGAAACTACTGGATTTATTGTTCTCATAGACCTATGATCAGTCCACAAGAGACTTTTGCTTTTTAGCACTTTGTGTTGGCCTGGCACAGTTATTTCCATGTATGTGTATATTTCCCCATAAAAATTTATTCCTATTTTTGACTGGATAGAGTTCTCAAGTTTAATTTTTAATTTGATTTTAAATATTTAACAAATATAACCTACTGATCTGCTATTAATGTGTTGTCAGAGTCTCTATGCACTTAAATTTTACTATACTATTTTTTTCCCTACTAGAATATCATAAAATTAACAAAATTTTATTTCAGAACCTAAAAAGCAAGAATCATTTATAGGAGATTTTAAATTGCGGATTTTCATTTCTGTCTGCTCCAATGACCTGACAGGAAGGTTCTTCACCCAGCTCTTATAGCAATCTGAGAAGTAGGTTCCATATATAGAGAGAAGGAGAGGAAAAAGAGAGACTATGTTCCAGTTTTTTATTTTTATTTATTTTTTGACCCATGTATATTTATCTGGGCCCCTGGGTCAAAGTTTGTGACCTAAAAAAAAAAAAACAGAAAAAAAAAGTTAACTGCATTTTGATGGTTGGAAAAGAGGGCATTCTTCTCTTTAAAAATACAGTACTTTGAGTTGCTGTTTTAAGAAAAGGAGGACAGTCTTTATCTGGGACAGGGTGGACAGAAATCAGTGATGACCATAAGGAGAAAAGATAAAAGGACAATGTGTTAGAAGAATCACAAAACCTAGGTTCTAGTCCCTGTTCTGTCATTTAATAGCCATGCAATTGTTTTAATTTACATATAGTAAAATCATTTTTTTGGTATAAAGCTCTATGAATAGTAACACACATATCCCCCACCACAGTCAGGGTAAAGAACAGTCCCATCATCCCAATAAATTCTCTCATGTTGGTCCTTTGTAGTCAAACATCTCCCCATCCCACACACTGGCAACCACCGGGTCATTCTTTGTCTTAGAGTTTTGTCTTTTCCTAATATACATACTTAAGCTCTGAGTCTTTTTCTCCAGTCATGAAACTTATATCTATCTATCTATCTATCTATCTATCTATCTATCTATCTATCTATCTATCTATCTCTGTCTATCTATCTATCTATCTAATCTATCTGCCATCTTCTTTACATTAAAATACTAAGCTCTTTATGATGATGGCTTGTCTGCTGTGGATAAAGAACCTGATGTATGACAAGTATCCCTCTATAGTTCATATTTAGAAAACATTCAAAGTTTGTCCAGTTTTTGCAATTCTGTATCTTAAACTTTCTGTTTTCTCCAGAAGGGTGGCCCCAGCTCAGATTTCTACATGTTACCTTGACAGACTGGTAACGTTGTTCATTCCTACAAAGCTATGAGCTGCAAAATGTTCCTTCATCTCCCCTCATGGTTACCCTTCCTCAGTTTACCACATTGTTCTGAGCAGCCAACTGCAATTTTCCTTTCAGCAGTCTTTGTGCAGGGGCTTCCAAAATTGTTCTAGCACTTTGCTATGTGTGAACATAGCTTGTTGCTGAATGTCTAACGATAATACTGATGACACCGTTAAATCAGCATGTCAGCTATTGTAGAAGCAAGCCTCACTTCCACCCTGTTGAATGATCTAATAATAAAAAGCTTACGGCCTTGGCTCACAGGACTGCTAACACTAATACATCACAAGAAGGCTGTGTATGGCATTATATAGATTTTAATAAGTACATCTGACAAAATCACTTGTAATTCTCATATGGAGTTAACAGATGAGGTGTAACTATAACTGCTTGAATAACTGGATCCAAAAAGCATTGATTAATTAATTGATGTCTCCCTAAAATAAGGCCTTCAGTGGTATGCTACAGGTGACTCAACTTTGTCTTACCCTATTTACACATTTTAATTAATGAATGACTGAAGAGATAGAAGAAGGATTGCCAAATTCATAAATGCCATGGTTAGTAGTGATAGATAAAAAAAAGATTTATGTTACAATCATACTCCAGGCCAGGCATGGTGGCTCACGCCTATAATCCCAGCATTTTGGGAGGCCAAGGTGAGAGGACTGCCTGAGCCCACAGGTTCGAGGCCAGTCTGGCCAACTTGGCAAGACCTCAATAAATCAAGAAAAATGAGCCAAGCATGGTGGCGCACGCCTGTAGTTCCAGCTACTTGAAAGGCTGAGGCAAAAGGATCACCTGAGCCCAGCAGGTTGAGGCATCAGTGGTCATGAGTGTGCCACTGCACTCTGGCCTGAGTGACAGAGTGAGACTTCAACTCAAAAAAAAGAATCATACACCAAAAAGATTTCAATACGAATTAATAAAATAGAACAATATAGACAAACTAATAAGCTGATATATAACTGGAAGAAACAGAAATCAACTACATAATGATGACACAGTAAGAGAGATTTAATTTGACAGCAGCCTACATGGTAAGATCTGGTGTGTTAGTAATTATAAATTCAATATAAGTCATTATTGTGGCATAGCTTATTTAAAAAGAAAAAGAGCTCACACTATTACATTGCTCTTTTCAGGTTCATTCATAAACTCCATGCTATCACCAGGCATGGAGTAGCTCACACCCATAATCCCAGCACTTTGGGAGACTGAGGCAGGAGGACTGTTTGAGCCCAGGAGTTGGAGACCAGCCTGGGCAACATAGTGAGACCCTGTCTCTACAAAAAATTAGCCAAGTGTGATGGCACATGCCTGTAGTCCCAGTTTCTCAGGAGGCTGAGATGGGAGGATTGCCTGAGCCCCGAAGTTTGAGGCTACAGTAAGCCATGATTGTGCCACTGCACCAGCCTGGGAGACAGAGTGAGATCCTCAACTCAGCAGCAACAAAATTCCATGCTACAAATTCCAACAGTCAATTCTCAACCTCATTTTCACCTTTTGGTGACATTTAACAAAGGTAAACATCCATCTTTTTGGACCACTTTTCTTTCCCTCATTTGACATTCTCTTGGTTCTTCTCTTACCTCACTGGCTGCCCTTTCCAGCCTCCTTCAGGACTGATAACTACCAAATTGATATCTCTAGTCTAGAGCCATGTGTGATGTCTCACACCAGTAATCCTAACACCTTGGGAGGCTGAGGTGGGAGGATCACTTGAGCCCAGGAGTTCAAGACCAACCTAGGCAACACAGTGAGACCCCTGTCTCTACAAAAAAAAAAACCTAAAAAAGGTAGCCAGGCATGGTGGTGAGTGCCTATAGTCCCAGCTACTTGGGGGTTGAGGCAGCAAGATGCCCGAGCCCAAAAGGTGGAGGCTGCAGTAAGCCATAATCATGCCACTGCACTCCAGCCTGGGCAGCCGAGTGAGATCCCTGACTCAAAAATAAATAAATACATAACATAGCATAGTTGAAACCTTTCCGATGAAGTCCAAATTCTTACATGTATCTGCCTCATCATCATAAACCCCCCTCACCTCCTACCCCCATCCAACTTGCTTTTCCCGTTGTCTTCCCCATCTCAGGAAACAGCGCTTCAGCCTTCCGATTGCTCCAGCCAGAACTTTCAAGGCATTCTTGGGACCTCTCTATATGTTTCATACCCTGTATCCATCCCTGCAGTAAATCCTGCTGGCTCTGCCTACACAATATACTCTGAATCTGACCGCTTCTCACCACTTCTCCATTCCATCCTCTCCCCTCAGGATTGTGGCCACCATCTGTTAAATGGGCTTCTTATTTCCAACCCTGATTCCCCAGATGGAGAGCTCTTTTTATTTTTGTTTATTTTGGCGATGGGGGTCTCGAGTTCAAGCTGCTCTCGAACTCCTAGCCTCCAGCAATCCTCCTACTTCAGCCTCCCTAGTAGCTGGGGTTACAGATATGAATCACTGCACCAGTTCAGTCAGAGAGAGCTTTTTAAAACATGCATTCATTCATCATTCATTCTAAGAGTATTTACTGAGAGTCGTCCATGTTACAGGTACTTAGAATGTATCTGAAAATAAAAGCGATCAAAATCACTGCTCTCGTGGAGTTTTTACATCCAGGAAGGGGGCAGACAATAAACCATAAATATAATAAATAAGTAAATGATACGAGTGGAAAAACCAAAGAGCAGGGGCCAAGGAAGCTATGTCAGGAAAAAAGGGATGTGCTGTAAACTCAGACAGGGAAATAAGTCCAGGCTTCACCGGCAAAGTCAGTTTCGAGCAGTGACTTGAAGGAGGGAAGGACCTAGCCATGCAGGTATCTGGGAAAGGGCTTTTCAAACAAAATGATGTTCACATTAAGTCTCTCACAAACATTGTTTTTGGTTCCTTACACCTTTAACTGGCCACATCATGGGCTGAAATATAACAGGTTTTGAAACTTATTATTTTTAATCGAAATACTACTTATATTTGAATTTTTAAATACTTTCCTAATAAGCCACGTGTGCTTTTTTAGAATAATAATTTAGGCAAAGTAATGAAAACTAGTCATGCAAGTGAGCTTTAAGTCTTTTTCTAAAATTTAATGGGAGTTTTGTCTTTTATTTCCTTGAGTTTCTTTTATGGTTCCAATAAAAGCAGTTAGAAAGACCTGTATTTTTTTATATGTACATATGACATAGCTAATATATAGGAAAAAATAAATAAATAAACAAACAGCAAGTTCACCAAACATGGAAATCAACTGAATTTAGCTTGCTAAGACTATAAACGTTTTTCCAAATACAAATACCAACTGATATTTCAAATTAAGCCAGTTATAATAAGCAAAGTCATCAGATTTATTAACACAATAAACTTAGCACAAAATTGTGAAGTTTGAAAAGCTTGTAGTTTCCACCTAATTGGATGAGCCCAGCACGATGTTTGTTTTTACCTTCCGGTGGCCTGTTGGATGTTGCCACAACGACGACCCCGTTTTTGAACAGATTTTCAAAAAGCTGTTTCAGAATCATGGCATCAGCGATGTCAGTGACCTATTGACAACAACACATTTGTTTTATTTTAATTTCACTTCTGCTCTAACAAATTTGCTAATGGATCTTTTTTTTTTTGTAAGATGGAAGTAAATTCCAAGAGAAAAATTCTAATTATCATTATGAAGAAAAGAGTAGATAATTAAAAGCATGCAACACTGGATGGCAGGCTTTTAAACCCGACTCTTCTTTTTTGCAAGCCTATCATTTCTACACAAATTATCAAATGGTTGTGTGATAACTTCTTTTATAGAACTACAGGTGGAAAGCATAGATAATTGTCCTAAACATTTAGGAAGTCTAATTAATTACAACTAACATGACCAACTCCCTCCTCATACTCCCACTCGTTCACTCCACTCCCCAAAAAGAGGAGACAGAAAGAATAATAATAAAATACACAGGCTGTGTCAGATTTCTAATACCTTTCTGGCAAAGGTCCCTGGAAAGGTGACTTTAAATGGTCATGGGCCTTTAGAAATAAGGACAAGTAGCCAGTGAGACATAATCAGCTGCTGTTGAAAATAGAATAATATGACATAGATACTATTGTGCAATTGTTGCACAAAACAATTCAACAGATGGCCCATCACAAAAATAAGCAATTTCATTGTTCTTTTTAAGTGCCTTCTATTACTGTCCATGAATAATCAAAAGGCACTGCAGTCACTTCCAGCACAGCCAGCCTCTGCTAACCTTCACAAACACAAATATTCCTTCTAAAAAAACAAAAGACAACAACATAAAAAAAAAACCTTTCAAAAATGGCTAATACAGTGTTTTAAAAAATAGCTTCTGGCAATACTAGAAATGTATAATGCAGAGAAAACTGTTCCATCTAAGTTAGATTACAAAGAAACATAACTATGGGTCTTTTCTAAAATTATTTTTAAATTCACTATTAAAAAGTAAGCTTAATGGTAAAACTTTTTCTTAAAAAAAGCTTTAAAAATTCACAAGGAAATATAACAATTAAGGTGAAAAGGAAGTTGACTTCAAAAATAAGTGTCCTGAAGATAGTTATCAATCACTACAACTTCCCCCTAAGTACATAACATTGGTTTTAGATACTCTCAGTGTGAAACTGTGTTAATCTTTCTTTAATAGTACATTTCGAATAATCTCAATAATACTTGCTTCACATATACCACCAAAATATATCACATTGTTATTTTTAGACCAAGTTAGAGGACATAGAAACTAGTGGAATTCATTAAATTAGATATCAAAATACTAAAAGTTACCAACTAAACGGTTACAACATGAGTTGCACGGGGCTAAATCACTTTTCTCTTTACAGTTCATATCTTACTCAAAAGTTTAATTATTTCTTTCCTACCTGAACAGAACAAAAGCAAGAAATGGGGACGTGCAATTTTGTTGTTGTTGCTGTCTCAGGCCATAACTTGAAAACATATTAACTAAAAAGCTAGTAAAGTTTCCTTAAATTAAAAAGACTTCAGGAACTTCAAAAATAGCGATGAAAATGGAAGGGAAAGCGGTGCTGATTTTATTTAATTTGGAGCTTAGGACCACTGTCAAATTTTGCTTCCGCAAAAACACTCACAGAGAAGGTCCTTTTCAAACGCGTGAACACCAGTGGCATTTCTGATGAGAGGACAAGACAAGCTGGCAAATTTTAATAGCAACTGCACTTTTAAATTCCCAATACACTAACTTTTTAAAAGAACACTATCAAGTAGGAGTCACCCAATTTTGGAGAATAAAAATAGTCATTTGACTATATCATTAATGTTTTTTTTAAAAATTAAAAATAGCTTTTATGCCCTAAGTTTCAGAGATGTGAACAATTAGCTTATAACACAGTGCAAAGATTCAAACTGAAAGTTGAAGAAAGCAAACAGTAAATTATAATTCAACCAGATTTATAATTTGTTTTTATATTGCAGAATGTTTTTGTCCTATCAGAGTAAATTAACCTGGAGAAGCTATGACTTAACGAATAAAGCTGGAGTCACTTGGTGCAGCCCGGTGCCAGTGTATACTCTTTTGATCTTGTCTCCGCACTTGTCCAGCCTTACTGGGGAACAGTAATTTTACAGTATAAGTGAACAGAAGACAATTGGCCACACATTCTTGGCAAGCCAGCTTTTTCAGCACCCAGCATTTCATTACCAACAGGAACAAAAGAGAAGGCTACAGATTACCAATAAGGGTAGTCTGCTAATATGGAGAGTGGAGACATTTCATTAGCATTAAAGAGAAAAGACTTTTTATGACCTAGAGTTGCTTTCCATTATGACTCACTTAAGTAAAAAAAAAAAAAAAAAAAAAGAAAGAAAGAAAAAAAATTCTAATGGTTAATTTACATGTGTAAGTGGTTGAGTCTCAGTCACCGCAGATTGGTGCAGTGCCATATAATGAGTGACAAACATAAGCATGCATTATCAGTAATTAGGATTAGCACAAAAATAAGCACCTATTTTTTATTAGTAGTTTTAATAGCATTCCTGCTTTATAAAAATGGTTAAAACTATTTTTTAAATGATACTGATAGCTTATAGAGAATTTTGCATGCCAGAATTCCTTTTTTTTTTTTGTATGTGTGACCATATTAGTAAAACATCTATTTAGTGCCCCTAAAAAGAGACATAAAGAAATACTTTTTTTCCCTTAAGAATCAATTTTCCAGTTCAGGGGTTCAAGACCAACCTGGGCAACTTGGCGAGACTTTGTCTCTACAATCAATCAATCAATCATCAATAAGCCAGGCATAGTGGCTACTTTGAAAGCTGAGACAGAAGAATTGCCTGAATCCAGCAGGTCGAGGCTGTGGTGGCTGTAAACATGCCACTGCACTCCAACCTGAGTAACAGAGTGAGACTACAGCTCAAAAAAAAAAAATCTGTTTTCCTCAGTATTCTGGTGTCTTCAGAATCATAAATGGTTTACGAAGTAACATAAATATTCAAAGAGGACATAAGGAAGGCCCTAAAAAAAACTTTGAAGATAAGCTCTTCTTTTATTTCACCATCCCAAAGCACAAAAACCAACCTATCTAGACATGTGTCTGAGCCAGGATAAGAATAGTATATCTGATATCGCAGGTAAAACTGAAGCACTATGTTTGGTAAATATGCCCAAGCCAATGAAGAACATTCTGCAGGTGTCATCTGAATGCTACTAATACGTCATCTTCAAAATTTCTTAAATTCAAGAGTATAAAAACATGAGTATATTCTTGTTTTGGTTTTTTTTGAGTTGGAATCTCACTATGTCACCCTCGACCTGTTGGGCTCTGGCGATCCTTCCGCCTCAGCCTTCTGTGTAGCCAAAATTACAGGCACGCGCTACCATGCCTGGCTGATTTTTTTTTTTTTTTTATTGTAGAGATGAGGTCTCGCCAAGTTGCCCAGGCAGGTCTCGAACCCGCGGGCTCAGGCAATCCACTCACCTCAGCCTCCCAAAGCACGGGATTACAGGCTGGGCCACCAAGTCCGGCTATATTCTTGTTTTTAAGCAGCAATAATTCTCATTCATCTCCCTAGTAAAATAAATATTAGCACCACTTAAAGGCCAATAATAACTAGCAGAAATCAATCTACTAATATGGCTCAATTTTGAAAGTGAACTGGTGACTTCTGTGGTAGACATACTATTGTGAAGAATAAAGTGCCCAAAAATTCTTGTCTAATAAATCAGCCAATGTTGTACTAGGCTTAATAAACTTAAGGATAATTTTTAGATTCTATCACTAAAACACCTTACCAAAACCCACCCACTTGTAGAGTTGTATATTTAAACACATAATACAAGACTTTATATACCAAGAAAAACATAACATAGCTGTTACAAGTAAGTAAGTATATTGATGTTAGATTTAAACTGTGATCTTGGTTAAGTTACTTAACCTCTCTGGCTCCCAATTTCCTCATCAATATAATGAAAGCGGTATTACTACCTACCCTGTAAAACTATTATGAGACATATAGTAAACTTTCAAGAAATATTACCTATGACTATTATCTATATATGGTGTATATGCTAATATAATTCTATAATTCTGTATAGAAGTTTAGCAATAGTTGGAATGATATATAGCATTATACAGTGACTAAGAACATGTGCATATTCAAAAGCACTCAACGAACAGTAGCTAATATCACAGAACATACATAATGGAATATAAGCATTCCAATAAAGAAATGGGCAATGCCTCAAACAGTTCATAAATGATAGATTGAACTAGTAAGTAAACAAACATGAAAAACAACCATATTTATTTCCTGAAGGACTACAGATTAAAATGAGATACCATTTTTCATCCATTAAATGAGATTAGAAGGTTCAAATAATTCAGAATGTTAACAGGAAAAATGTGAGTCGAAGTTATAAGATGCCTTGAGTTCTGTAAACACCGATTTTGCTTGAGAAGTATGATTCTGTATAAGGTTTCACAGGAGAGGAACTTCAGTAGTCATCATTCGGCATTAGGATTCATTCATTCATTCATTCATCCACTGTTTATTCATTCATTCTCAGGCACTGTTGTAGAAACTTGAGACACATCAATTAACAAAACTCATGCCTTCAAGTTTACATTCTGTGATAGAATATAGATAAACAAAAAAACAGAATAATTAGAAAGTGATATATGTCATGGGAAAAAAGGAGTGGGGGCGTGGGAAGCAGAGGGTCAATGGCAAATTGCAATTTTAAATAGGGTGTCAGGATAGGACTTGTTAAGGAGATAACTGAGCCAAGGTCGACAGGAATGAGGAAGTGGTTTTTTGTTTTGTTTTTTTTTTTGAGTTGGAGTCTCACTCTGTCGCCCAGACTGGAGTGCAGTGGCCGCTCCAGGCCACCGCAACCTCGACCTGCTGGGCTCTGGCGATCCTTCCGCCTCAGCCTTCCAAGTAGCCGGAATTACAGGCGCGTGCTACCACGCCCAGCTAATTTTTTGATTTATTGTAGAGATGAGGTCTCGCTGCCCAGGCGGGTCTCGAACCCGCGGGCTCAGGCAATCCACTCACCTCAGG